CCTGAGGCCTGTGAGTTCATTCCTCACTCCTGCCCATCAGACTGTTTCGCTCTTTGTTTCTGCTCATCTGTGTTTGTTTCTCACTTACTTTGAACTGCACCGCATTTTAGAGCCCCTTCTGTTGAACGTATGGTGTTTCAGCTTGTTTGGTCCCTGCATGCTCTGCTTCGATGCATGTAGGAAATCACACTGCTTCCAACTGCTTGGCTCTTAAACCCTGAAGTATAGACTCTGCACTTCATCCCATTTCACCCTGATTTCTGTGGGACTGCATTTAAACTATCAAGGATAATTCCAGTAAATCCATACTAGAAGGCGATAAGATCAAAGTATTTTGTGGCCCTGTAATCTGTAATTAATGCTGATGCTTTCTGCAATTTTATGACTGAACCAGAATGGAAACATAATGTTTTTTTTTTCATTTTCAAAGAACTACAGGCTGTGTAAACCTTGGGTAGCAGTGTTTGCCCTGACACTGAATAATCATTCAATCTCATTCCTCTCAGTAAGGCCTGTTACATAGAGTGTATGTCATGTGTTTAATACTTACATACTGTCTTGCTGTTGGTAAACTTTACGAAATAAATATCTGTTATCCTGTTCTGAACAAATGCCTGGAAGTTGGATGGATGATAGTTGCAGTAAAAAACATCATAAGTGGTGTTAATGGTCAGTGACCTGCTTCTGCATGAAGATGAGTGTGTGCTGCAGTGAAATGATCTGCTTAGCTGGTCTCACCATGCAAGCTGCAGTAACTCATCCCTCCGTCGTTTGCAGTGGCTGGATCTCCTCCATATCCATGATCAAGACCAACCTGGCCGTGGCGGTGGTCATGATGGTGGTGGCTGGCTTTTTCACGGTCTGCGCCGTGCTCTCGGTCATTTTGCTACAAATGGTACGTGTGTCTGCTCCTTGCATCAGGTTCTGGGCTAATCAAACTGGACCAACACAGGACAGAATGACAGTTTGGGAATTAGCCACTGTTTACTGTATCACTTTTAGTCTTTATGATGCTGTCTGTTGTCTTGTATGTGCACTGAGGCTCACTGCACTAATGAGACTAAATGCAGTGTATTCCTGACACCCGTATTTTGTAATTCCATAGGCTACACCTTGTTTAATCAAACCCCACCCCCCCGAAAAAATCCTTAAAGCACAGGTTGTCTCCCAGTTTGAGCTGATCTCAGCATCACCAAGGATATTAAATCACTGGGACTTTGTGGAGTGTGTTGCGTGACCGTCTGACCCGTGTGTCTCTGCAGGTCCACTCCAAATACCGGCGGACGGGGGCCAGTTTCCAGAAGGCCCAGCAGGAGTTCTCGCAGGGTGTCCTCACCAACAGAACCTTCCAGAATGCGGCTGCCACGGCTGCCACCTCTGCTGCTCAGGGCGCCTTCCAGAGGAGCTAGAAGGTGCCTCTGCGAGAAGATCCTCTGCCCACCTGCTGACCCTGTTGCCTCTGGAAACTTCAGCCACATCGTCGGAGAAAACCTGTGGGAGGCCTGTCTGGATGCCTTGGCCGTGGGGGGGGGGGTCCCTTGCTCTGTATTCTTCTCTCGAACACTGTAGTCTAACTTAAACGTGCAGCCGCAGATCAGGAGCAGAATAGTTGCTCTGCTGTCTCTCAAATGGGTGCAATAACGAGGTGTATTGATTACTTCCTGAGGTCTTCCTTAGTCCGTGTCTGTATGTCTCCTTTTATGATAATGGATGTATGAAGCGGGTCGACTGTGTGCGTTCTGAATCATTCTCATTTTATTTACTGTACAGCGGTTTTTAATTTTTTTCCCCCCAGTGCCCCCTTCTGGTGTTTGTGAAGGTAAAGTTAGGTTTGAATGATCACATTGCGGAGACGCACGCAGGTGTCGCACGAAAGGGCAGGTTGTTTCGCTATGAGCAGAGCTGATTGGAGCACTAAGCATGCTGATTTTTACGGTGTTTGAGCCAGCTGACACAGTTTCTGCTGATTGGTCCATCTCTTCATCTGAGTAACTTTTTTCCGCATTAGGTGTTTTTTGTCTTCAGTAATAATTGCCATTTTCCCTTTTTATGCTTATTTTTAGGGTTTATAAATTTTGCATAAAGATTAACAGCAAGGTAAGATGACCAACAGCATGTATTTCTATCCTATGATAGTCAATTTTACAATTAATTTTATCTGTTTAGAATGTTTTTGAGCAAATGGCTGGTCATTGTCCAGTGTTACTAGATACTTATGGTAACCTGAAACCCAGTGGTTGCTATGTGTGTTCCTAAGTGGAATAGATTAAACTTGTTCTCAGTTTGGGCACCTTGCTGGCAAGATGAGAATCCCCTCACTAGTGTGTTGACTTATGGCTGATTTTACACTTCTGTGTAGAATCTCCACCGTCGGTACAGTGTAGGTATGGTGTAGCTGTGTACCCTACACCATAGCCTGTGCCGTAGCCTGTGCTCTATGTCTAAATTAGCCTTTAGAAGTTACTGTTACATTTTGTAGTATTTTTACCTGTCTGCCCTGGTGACTAAAGAAAGAAGAAGCTGCTGGAATTTTCCATGATATGGGCACATTTTGCCTTGAGGTTACAGAATGCGCTGTGCCCCCCCCCTCATGCCCTCCCCCGCACTGGATAAGCAGCCACGGGGAGGATTGCACCCTCCCTGTTTGATCGTCCTCTGTTTTGAAACTTACTTGTGAGTTTCTGCCACCAGAATTCCGATCCCTTCTGCCATGGTGTACCTACCAGTCACAGGGAGCAGCAGCGTTGTACAGCTCTATCTCCTTAGTACGGTAGTATCTTCCATGTTTAGATTACAGAAGAATGCCCTTTAGAAAATGTAGACTTATCAGTAATGAGGATCCTTAAATCCCTAAACTGTAAAGGATTTTTTATCTGGAGCGTATTTAACATGCTTAATCATCGTCTCTTGTGTTAAACTATAATTGTAATTACCATGGAAAAACCTTTTATCTGAATAATTAAATGGGTTCTTGTAATATGCCCCTTGTGTTAAACTTTTTGTAATGTTTATATTTGTTACCATTGATAATTTCTTAGTATTGAAAGTCAAGATGCACTATAGAAATTGTAATGGAAATGACTGCATAGAGCAGCGTAATTACACTGAGTCGCTGTGTCACTAATATAAAAAAGGTTTATGCAATATGAGAAATGTTATTCTAAAAGCAGTACATCAAAAATCTGGCTCTTTGCGAAATAGTCATTTATCATTATGGTCTGAAGGGCTTCATGTGCAAAGGCACGAAGGTAATTCCTGCATTCAGAAGCGCAAACGTCCTGTAGTCTTCATTCCCTGGTTTTTGGTTTTATGCACGATGCAGTAACTGACCCCCATTTACTGCCTATTAAAACCGGAACTATCAAAACTGCACAACTGAGAAAGACACCTTATAAATTGCTCAATTTTCAACAGTTATTGCAGGCATGTTTCAAAAGACAAGCTGGCCGTACTTCCGTCGTCCTTCCACGATGGCGGCCCCCTTTAAACAGTTGGTATGTAATTGTGGATATTTAGTTACATTGAATTGGGCAGTATGATATTGTGTTGTGTGAAATATCCACAGGTAATATTGCCAACAAAAAAGGAGGCATTACCTAGAAAACTATAGCAAAATAGAGTTTATCTTCCAATAGAGTATGTCAAACATCAAATAGCGGCACTGACTAATGCAATGTGGTTGCTGCGCTTGTGCACATCGCAGTGGTCCAACATCCCAGCGACGAGCAAATGGAAGGGAAACTGAGTGAAATACATCTTTACAGGATAGTTTGCCACATTTCTGTCCTGCTACAGCATCAGCCTGAACCAGTACTGCCCCCAGACTATCATCACAAGCATCCATATGGGGAGGAAATAGCTTTTCAGAGTTACGCAGAGTGAGTATAGCAGCATTTGACTGGCCTCCTGATAGTCAAGGTGCCAGATGAAAGCCAGTCCTTCCTGGGTGAGAGTAATTACTGACTCTGCAACCCTGGCATAGCCATTCAGAAACTCCTATTTGCAAGGTCAAGAAGCTGCTGTATACTTTTCACATTCACTGGTATAGGGAAATCCTTAATGCCCTTGATTTTGTCCTCATACAGGTTCAAACCCTGGTGTGACCTTGTAATCAGAGTAAATAAAAGGATGCCTTATAGAAATGGCATTTCCCCAGCTTTGGAGTCAGGCCTGCATGTGCAAGACAGCTCAGTAGTCAGGCCAGAGCTCTCCAGTACCCGAATGTCCAAAGGGCATGACCTTAAACTGAAAAAGGCCCTTGTGTGACACAAATGCCATCACTGAATGAAGGCCTGCCAGTAGCCTCTAGTGAGGTGTAGTGTTGAGATGTTTTTGCCCCATGATAAAAAGTCCAATGACTGCTCTTCCCTTGGAGGTGGGTATGAATCTTTAATTGTAACTCGGATGATCTTCCTCTAGTCAATGCAAAAATAATAATGCCTACTTCTAGCATTTTCATTACCTGATCATAAAAAACACGGGCAAACTCTTACCCTAACATGCCAATGGCTTAATGTGTCAGACAAGTTAGTCTGCAGCCTATAGAACTTACTAACTTGAGCGATTACAACTTTCAGTACCTGTTAAGTTATTCAGCACCTTTCCAACGTGTTTGGTTGAACAGCTGAAATAGACACTCTGGTATCCAGGGTGACCATCAAGGACATGACCTACAGTGACTTCTATCGTCAAAGGGGTGCTCTCAGGATTACCTTGGCAGCAGAACATGAAGCACATTCGCTATTGGGCAACATAGCAGCATGGATGATATGGAGGAGCTGGTCCCTGAAAAGAATTTGACATCGTTAATAGGGAACTTGTTTCCAAAAAGCAAATTTGGCAAAGGTAAGGTTCACACATCAGACGACAAACATATTACACCAACTTCAAAAGAAAACAGCTGATCGAGTCTGTGACAGCCAGACAGCGAGGGACTCCGCTGCCGCAACCACACAGTATTTTGCAAAATAGTCTTAAAAATGCACATGAAAAAGAATCGTAATAAGATCATAGGTCGTGATCCTGCCTGAAAAACATTGTGATATGATACTTTTACCGTGTTGCCCAGCCCTACCCCCTACAATGATAAAAGCTGTCAGGGTGGGTATTAAATTTTATTCACCAAGGTTAGTACAGGCTCCTTTTCAGTGGAAGCCCATGGTCTTCAGACGAGGAGAACCTTTGCAGCACAGCACGTTTAGTTAGCATGATGTGACAAAAAAAACACTGAGTGCAAACATTGTAAGAGCTGTCACACTATTAATTTTTAACATAATTAATCGGTTGGAAATTAATTCATATACAACCATGTCACAATGCCATAAAAAAAGTTTTATACTCTACATATTCTGCATAAAAAAAAATATTCTAGGATGTTGGCAGTTAACACAGTTTAAAAAATGAATGCAATTTGAGTTAAGACAATCAAAGAGTTGAAAATGTGTTGTGGCTTCTGTTGGTGGCAGGGCAGTGTCGTGGTCGGCATCGTGGCCTCATGCGTCTCCCCTCACTCCATGTATCTGGAGTTTGCATGTTCTCCCCGTGTCGTCGTGGGGATTCCTCTGGGTACTCTAGTCACACGCCAAAAACGCCCTGAGGTTAATCGCAGTTGCCTGTTGGTTTGTTCCTTGCCATGGTTTGGTGCCTCATCCTGAGTTGTTCCCTGTCTTCAATATGGATGGATGGTTCATTAAACAAAATGTTACTATTGTTTACTGCATTATCACACAAAATTAAACAATGTTAACCAATGAACAAGCTTTACTACTTCTCTCCTCTCATGTGCAGTGATTATCCTGGTGCGACAACCTGAAGAGCATCAGTCCTGTCTTGTTGCTTTACATAACTTTTATTATCAGCACGTTTAATGTTTAAACCCAAAACTTAAACCCGAAAATTAAAAAATATTCCAAAAAGACTACAGTATAAAACAATGCAAGTAACTTTCAAACACAAGGTTTGTTAAGCCACTGCCTGGTTTAACCCAAAGTAAGCATCCTGCGATGGAGAGTTACCCTAACCCAGTCTTCATCCCGACAGGGCTACCTGCATACCATTACTCTCATGTGGGAGAGGGAGTGAGTAACTCAGAGTTTGTGAATAAACACTATTTGTCTTGGCTGAGCTCCTTCTACCTCATTACACGTTTCCTTTTGTTGTGGGTAATCAGCTGTAACGTTTAGTTTTACCTCCTGCTACATGCGCTATTGTGAGACACAGTGTGTTGCTTCTTCCCCAGATGCAGGCAAATGTGAGACCCCCAGTCAGCGCAGACCTCCATGTGAATCGCAGAAGCTCAGTGGGCCTGAAACTAGCATCTCTGTGAGCAGCATCAGCATGGCACCGCCCTCACGCTCTAATAACACTCTATGAAAATCATTATTAATATTTTATTTCTAGAAGTCTGTGATACACTCAAATGTTTTCAAGATAGTTGCATATATGGTAAACATACATATACGTATGAATTTCTATATATTTTTCGAATAATAAGGGCATCGATCTTATTCAGTTTTAACATTATTACGTTGTATATTTTTATTTTATATTGCATCATATATTTATGTTCTGCTCACGCACGGGACGTAATTGCATTGCTTTCTGTAGGAGGCGCAGGTGCATTACTCTGTTATATTATTAATCATGTATTGTGCAAGTACATTTACCATGATTTATTTACTTTTCTGAACAGATTTTAAATTATTTAATATTTATGCCACAGCGCTCTGCTCAAAAACAAGATTTCCATTAATATGTGCAATGAAGCTTCAAGCATGGAGGACTGCAGTTAAGGCCTGGCAGAGTAATGCGCCTCATGCAGCTGTAAGTCAGCCAGCAGCACAGCACAGGGCCGCAGTTAAGGCCTGGCAGAGTAATGCGCCTCATGCAGCTGTAAGTCAGCCAGCAGCACAGCACAGGGCCGCAGTTAAGGCCTGGCAGAGTAATGCGCCTTATGCAGCTGTAAGTCAGCCAAAATATTATGAGCAAACCCATACGAAGTGAATAACAGTATGACGATATTATCGGTAATCGACAATATCAGACTAGTAACTCTGTGTCGGCATCTGATTATCACCTTTGTCTGTGACGTAGACTCAGGCTGCACACAAAGCAAGATAACACAAAGATTTATAAGAGATTTACAATTTGGCTTTCAGCTCAGCCGTCTAGCCTACGTTTCTGACACCCCCGACATTTTCTTTGTGAGTGTAATACTTTCTGAACCACTGCTTTAGATGGCCCATGACATGTTCTTAAATCATAATGAAATTGGCCTGCCAAGCCATTGTTTTCACAGGAAACCTAAAATACAATGTTCTACACCAGTAATCAGCACCCACTTAGTGTAAATTAGTGTTTAGTTTTTGTGGACGTTTAATCTGAGATAGACGGTATTGAAAACATGGTGCCATACAGGTTAATTACAAAAAGGGACTAAAAGAGAAATATAGATCAGATCTAACCTTCCATTTATGAAAGTCTTGATTGTCTGTGCATCTTGATTCATTAAATGATATTTCTGCACTGTAGGTCGGGACAGGGAAGTTGGAGCAGAGAATCCCTCCCTGCAGGCTATCAGCAGCAGGTTATCGGTTCCAGTGGGTTAATGGCTCTTTATGAGCCCAGCAGCAGGCAAGTGGTCACTCCAGGCTCCACCTTTGGCACCATCACTTTTTCCAGCTGAACTTCCCCAGAGCCGTTCTGTGTTCTCTCACTGCTTGATGCGGGTGACAGGCACCACAGTACAATACAGAGCAATACAGTGCAGTACAGTACAGTACAGGGCAGTACAGAGCAGAACAGTGCAGTTCAGTACAGTA